TCTGAATACCTTCTGTTTGGCACGGACCACCTGACCAAAATTCCTTCATTTGTCCACTAAAAACACATTTACTGATTGTGTGAATTTGAGAACCAAAAGGAATGGTGAACTTTTAAAATGAAGCTGACTGGAAGGTAGGAAATGAATCTGAAGGCTTGAGCTTCGGAAAACTTTTTGTGGGAAACTGTTAAAGTTAATCAGCTGAAGTGTTCAAAACCACAACTATGGTTCCAAATAGGAGGAATTTCTGCTCTTAGTTTTGGCTTAAAATCTGAAACCTGGAATTTCAGAAAAAAGAAAGATAACAAAGCTAAAGCCTTTTTTTTTATCCCTGGCTTATAATTTCTCCTTTAGTTTAATGTGATGAGTCAATCGATGTGGCGCAGCGATGGAGCGATCTTTCTTTGAAGGAGGAGAAGCGTTTCATGCAAAAAGAGGATTAAAAAAAGATCAATTTGAAGGACTCTTCACCGTCTTTGCGAATGTTTCCTGCCCTGTATGCCTGTAGTGAGTCGATGTGCAGAGCGTGCTGTTTTTTTATGGATGCTTGTGAGAAAGAAAAAAATTACTTGTTTACTTTAGTCCCTTTTTGTATAGAGAGATGTTGAACTTTGTTAGCGGTTTGTACCCAAAGAGAGATACTGTAACAAAATGTTGTGGTCATTTTTGCTCCATAAAAACTTCAGTAACGAAATAATGTTCAATAAACGGAAACCAGAAAACCAACCATCATGTTTTTTATGCGTATTTGTTTGAATTTCATTTACAGCAGAAATAAGCATCAAAGCAGATCAGGGAACTAAGCAATCGTTTAGGGCAACAAGGAGCAGGAATTCTATTCAGTTTATTTCTATACTGCCAATAAACAGCAGATGTCATCGTTTAGTATTTTACAGACGCAATCAGATCATCTGGTCAAACTGGTTTCCATTGAAAACTGCATCCAGTCATTGAATTTCCTGGATTCCTGCCATGCGGTCTACCTCTGCAGCTTTTCAACACCCAGATTAATGAAGAACTTCTCCATGGTGGATTAAAGCTGGATTACTGGTGACAAACTGAAAAAAGAGGAAGCAAACCTGAACAGTCAGTGAGGAATTAAGGAATAACTGTAACAAAAACGTCATAGAGATTTTTCCTACATTTACCTATTTTTAAAATCTAATTATTCTACTATAAACTTTATTTCTAAATGGTTTCCATTGCAGCTGTGCTTATAAATATCTTAACAACCTCAGTCTGTGTTAAAACTTTCAGATATCTTTTATAATTCACTGTTTCATCAACATGTTGGATATTTGATTGTTTTTTGTTTGTCCAATTGAATGTAATTATCTCAGAGGTCAAAGCTATGAGGTTTTTTTCTTTTGTTGCTTTTGTTTTGGAGCCAAAAGACTTTAATTAAGTTTTAGTGGAAAATAAAGTGAATCCTGGTTTATTGAGTTTATTTCAGTAACAGCAGATCTGAGCTGCAGGAGGTTTAATTATCAGACTGTTTTATGTTTCATGCTTCTTTTAACATAATTCTATTCAGTTTATTTCTATAGCTCCATCCTGTCATCTCAGGTCACTTTCTACCAGATCATCCAGATCATCCAGTCAGATTGATACAAAGTTTTCTATCTAAGGAAAACCAGCTGATTGCATCGACTCATTGACTCTTCAGCAATCCCTCACACTAAGCATGCTTGTAGCGACAGTGGAGAGGAAAAACTCCCTTTGAACAGGAAGAAACCTCCAGCAGAACCAGGCTCAGTGTGAGCGGCCATCTGCTGAGGCCCACTGGGGTTCAAGGAGACAGAAGCAGACATAGAAAAAGAAGCATAGATACAAAAGGCAACTGTCAACCAGCTCCACAGGCGGCCCCGTCCAGGAAACACACAGCCAGGCAGACGAGCTCCGAGCCAGCTCCCATGTCAGAGGATGAAGAGAGCACATCCAGGCTTTGGCTTCCCAGTCATGTTTTTCTTTTTCATATCACCCAAATTAACCCGATATTATTTATTAAAGAACCAAATAAAGCATCAACTGCAACGATAAATAACCGTTTGGATTCTTGGTTGTTGTCTCCTGCTTCATCTGGGACAGCAGTCTTAGCAGAGACTCCAAGACTTCCCTCTCCCCAGACTCCTCCTCCAGGCCAGCAGAGACATGGTCCCTCTGTTCGAAAACCTAGGACGCATCCTTAGAAGACCGGATTCGAAGGTCGATTACGTCATAGCGCGTCATAGGATTCATTGCGAGACCAAGCAAGCCGTGATCAGAGGAAAGGTTACTTGGCGCCGAACAGTGGTGAAAATTGGAAGTTCAGTTTAATATAATCCAGTCTGTGAATAGTTCCGTCTGAAATGAATGAAAATAGTTGTTTTAATGGTTATAGAGTCAGATATGTGGCGGTAATGTTTGGTTTATCTAAAGGTTTTAATCTGTTACTGTGTAAATGAGTTTGGCTGTAATTTAAGGACAGATTCTAATAGATCTGCAGGGGGGGGACTATAAATCTGATAGGAGTTTTATCTTTTTATTGCTGTTTTGCACAATATGCTTAACTACGTATTTTTTGTTGTTGAATATTAGAGATTTTGCAGATATATTTTTTTATAAATACATTGTTTAGATTTACTTATATCTTTCTACCCCTTTTATAGAATAGAATAGAAAATCCCTTTATTGTCCCACAATGGGCAGATTTACAGCAGCAGAAAGATTATTGAAAATGGTCACACAAATGTGGACCTTAGAAAAATGTATAAGAATAACATAATAGGGAAGAGTTAAAATATAAACAATAAAATACTGTAAAGTGTTTTAACAATATAAAACCGGAGAATAAATAACCAATATGCAGCTATGGACATTTTTACAGTAATGGATATTTGAAAATAGCAGCAACATCAGAGATGTGCAGAATGAAAGCAGCAGGTTATTTAACTGACTAAGGTAGAAATCATTACATTTGATTTGATTGGTTCCTGCTCCCGGCTGTTGGAACATTTATTCTGGATTCTTGTGAGTGTAGTCTTTGTTCACTTCACAATAAAAAAGAAATAAACAAACACTTTTGAAAACTTCTGTATTCATTCTTTTCTTGCTTTGTGTGTCAATGTTTACGGTTGCTAAGCAACAGAGCATACGGCGGTAAAACCCGCCGAAGGGTAGACCTGGTCGAATTCACAGCCTAAACTCTTCCGGTCTCCTTATTTTCAAGGACTTCGAAGGATCCAGTCCAGGTAGACCGCGTCCTTGGAGGACACGTCCTAGGTTTTCGAATAGAGCCTTTGTCCCCCTAAGGTGTCCTGGTTCGTCCCCTGGAGCGCCTTCTGGTGGAACATCCCTGGAACACCTGCAGAGGGCGCCATTCGGAGGGAATTTGTCTGTAAGGCAGAGGGCAGCCCAGCCAGAGTCCAACATGGTGCTTGAACTTAATGCTCTAATGTGGACCTTCAGCACCCAGAGATTAGATATATCTATCTCTCTTAGATCGATATATCTATATTGATTATATATATCTATATTGATCCACTGAGGTTTGGCTATTTTGTTTGTTTTTATTTGATTGGTACAAGAACCAGAATAAAGGGAAAGTTTCACCCTATATATGGAGTGAATTTTGCTCCATTATTGTTGCAAACAAAGAACATATTTTACAGAAACAAAATCTGAAAAAATGGAATGCAGAAGATTGGAAAAACATGTTAATGACAAAAAACGGAGAGTAAAGATTTCATATTTGATTTCTGTAAATTCATTTAAAAAATCTGTGCTGTGTCTGTAGATCTATATAAGTCGGTTGTGCTCTTCTTTTTAAATCTCACTTTGCAGCTGATGAAGCAGACAGAGGAAGTTTGGTCAAACTGTCTCTGCTATCTTCTCTTTTTTTCACCTTTTTTTGTAATGTCCCATAACATGAATTATTCCATAAACTTTAATGAAACTATTTTTTTTATTATATAATATCTTTTTATATATAAATCGAACAGAGCAGTATGGGGGAAGCAATAATCTGCTGGGCCCTTTCTTTGAATAAGGCATGTTTTATTCTTATTTTCTTTACACAGAGTGGATACAAAGCAACATTTTGTTTCATACAGCTTTCATTCCTTAAAGTGCAGCAGTGATCAAATGCACAAAAATAAACATGCATTGATATGGAAGCTTAGAGCATTAATATCTATGGTGCAAATATGCACTTTACAGCATTAAGACTGTAATTCCTATCATGGAGGGAAATAAAATTCATGAAAGAAATTTTGAACAGATTTTTTATTTTCATGTTTGTTTTTTGAACTGTTTGCATTTAAAAAAAATGCAATCTTTACAAATAGTGTTTTAAAGTGTGGGCTTTATTGTTGCAAGCAAATAATCTAAATTGTAAATGAAAAGTTGAGAAGTCAAACTTTGAAAATTGATAATATGAAATATATTAAAAGATTTTATAATTTAAATAGTTTTTGATTATTATCTATTCTTATTCTATTTTATCAAATCTTATTTTTTCTGTTTCTATATATTCTATATTTAATGCATTGGTACTTTTGATAGAGTGAAACCAGCAGTTCTCTTCTGAACTGCAGCAAACAGCTTTCATTCATTCTTAAAAAGTTCTCTTAATGATCCGGATCTGTTTATTACAGTCATGTGACCAGCAGCCATCAGACAGGTGATGCTCTGTTGTTGTTTATCTAAAATAGTGAATAGGTGAAAAATCACCAGGATCAAATCAGCTGATTAAAGCTGCAGATGTTTGAGCTGCTGGCTGCGCATCACCGCCATCTTGTGGCAGAATGCGGTACTTATTATTGTCTCCAACAGTTTTAGACGAACATTTCTCTAATAAAATACATGTTAGATAAACTGCGGTTTTATTATTGATGTATGAAACATATTTAATTATCTCTACATGCTTTCAATTTTTTTTTATTATCTGTATTTTTTTTTTATTATTATTTCCTCCATTTATTCTGATCTCCTTCATAACCACCTGCAGACTTAGCGGCAATATTTGTCTAAAAATGTGCATTTTAATTAAAAAGAAAAACATTTTATTGAAACTTTTCTCTCATTTTATTTCCCCTCCGGGTGGTGGTATCCCATAATGCATTGCGCTCTGGCTGGATCATGGACCAAGGCGGTAAGCTAAGCCTATCCGCTGTTAGCAAACTGTTTGTTTTTGTTGTTTGTTCCTTTCTGTTCTCTGAGGGACATTTTTAGTTTAGCATGAACCATCTAATGATTAAAATAATTAGCTGAAGTGGCGCATTGCTGCTCTGCTGTGGCTCTATGGCTACAGGAAGCTAGCAGTTAGCTACAGAATCATTCAAAGTGCTTCATTATGCAGACAGCTAGCATGTTTCAGACCCACCGAATCATTAACTTTATGACCTGAAACGATTCATTGCTACATATAACGCGGTTAATCATCATTAATAACCAGTCGATATGCGAGGTTGGTTCCAAAATCCAGGCCGCTAATGCTAGCGCTCAGCGTTAGCCGCTAATGCTAACGCGGCTAAAGCTCCATGTTTGGTTTATCCGCTTCAGTTTTAAGGTCATTTTCATGTTTGCATTAAATAGTTTTCCTACATTTTTAGCAGTAAAGTGTTTTTAATCCGCGTTTTTTCAGAAGTTATAGTTTTTTCTGACTATAAGAGAATTGGCTAGACCTTAGGTAGCCACCGAGATGCCTGATCAAAAACGCCTGAAGCGCCTTTCAAGCAGCATTAATATGTTGTTAATATTATGATCACAAAATTCATAAAACGTGACAATTAACTAATTTAATTGTATCCAGAATTTTTTGTCAATAATAAGATGTAATAAAACGGAAAAGTATTTTTTTTTCCTGTTTGGTAATCTAACTAAAACGCCTCATTCCAAAAATGAGCTCAAACATCTATTTATTGAATGCTTTCCTATTGTTGAGAACACAAGAGAACCACAGTACTCTGATATTCATAGATCTAGACAGATGGCTGCCTTTAGTGCTTTATTTATAAAGGGAATAAAAACATTAATGTATAAAAAATGACGAATAACAGCCGATATGGATGCCAACATCAATAGATCCTGCATCCCTAGAATGGACACAACTTCACTTCCGTCTGTCCGTCCGTCCGTCCATCCATCCATCCATCCATCCATCCATCCATCCATCCATCCATCCTTTTGCTGGTTTCTTATACTTTAATTTTCAGTCTGTTTCCTGTGAGTCTGTCTCTCTCTGGGTTGCAGATATTTCTGAGTCCTGCTGAACCACAAATGACAAAATTATATGTTGAATTTTATTATAGCATTGCATATTTTTTCTTGTAAACTTGATATATTTTATTCCATGTTGCATATCCCAGTAAATCTGTTTCACCTTTAAATCAGCAGTTCTCCCTAGTTGTGTCTCTGCTCTGCTTAAAATCAGATTGATGAACCAGTCTACCGATATAATGATGCCAGAGAAAATTATTTTCAGGATCTCTAGAAGCTCTGCAGCCTGATTCTCTGTTCAATCTGAAAACAACAGATCTGTGTTCATTTTAATCTGGAACTCTGAGTAATGCTCCTCTGAGGAGCCCAGCTTTTTTTTAACTCATATAAATGACAATCTGTTGCCATTTTTAGCTGAAAAAGCTCCGTATGTGTAACGAACGGATTTTTCGGTGGTATCTCTAATTTTTAGACTAGAAGAGTTCTGCCTTTTAAGACAGGAAAGTATAGCAGTTAAAGTTGCTACTTGAGAAAATACTGAACCATAGAGATAAAAATAGCCCTGTGATTCAAATTATAAATTGTATTTGGAATAAAAATGAGAGAACTAGGGGTGCTAAAAAACACATCCTCCAAAGACAGATATTTACATGGGAATGTGGCAGATAATTAATTGACATATTACTGATCTTGCTGGATTTTATTCTGCTTTACTTCCATAAATTGCAGGATCTTCTTTACTTTATCTTTGCCAGAAGATTTAAACTTTAAAAGCCTTGCCCTCATAATTTGCAAGTTAATTTATTTATAAAGTAAATGTAAACGCTGCTTCTGTTCTCCTGATATTTGGGACCAAACCATCGCGTTTTCATATCATCCACAGAAAATGATCTTCCAGGAGGCGACGGCTCGGGGGGGCTGAGCGACCTGGACGTCCGCAGACAGATTCCCATTAAGCTGCTTTCAAAGCCGCCCTTAAGGAGCAAACCGCCGCCGCGCACGCAGAGACCCGGCGGCGGGCGTCCGTGTAAAGGCAACCCTGGAGAGGACGGTAAGGAGGAGCGGCTGCAACTGGAAACATCTCCACATCCAATCCTCTGTGTTTCCATAGGATGTGTTGATATTTGGCTGCTAACTTTCAGGAAGGGTTCACCTGTGCCGAGTCCAAAGGAGGGCGGGGCCTAATGGCCTGCAATTAAAATCTAACATTTTTTATTTTTTTTATTCCATTTTTTTCTGATTCCCCTGCTAGCTTGCGCTGCAGCAGGTTAGCCATGTGTTACCATTGTGACTAGCCTCGCTAAGCCTTAATCCTGCTTCAAGGAACTCTGGAAAACATCATTTCAACATCTGGAAATTGGACTAACAGAAATGAAAATATATAAAATCAGTTAAAAACGGATTGAGAAATAAACCATGGAAAAAATAAAATCAGGAAAACAGCAATTAGTATAAAAACTAGTTTTTGATCTGCAATAAATTATTGGCAGAAAAATCATTTAATAATTAAATCATTGAGAATAAAACTGATGCTAAATCTTTGGTTTAGATTTTCTTTTTAATCCTGAATCTGTAAACTTAGTAGCTCATGTTCACTCTGATAAATGATAAACCAACTTAAAGCTAAGCCTGTTAGTTTTACGCTGAAGCTAACAGGACGCTAAAGCTAACAGGCTTAGCTTTAAGCTAAAGCTAAACCCGTCTCTCTGTCCTGTGTCTGACAGTTTCTTTTCCTGCAGATAAATTTGGCTTCAAGCAGGAGGAGCGATTTGACTGTGGAACCAAAGCTGGAGACGTCTTTGGGAGTCAGAGGAGGTTTCCTCAGCCTCTCTTCTGGGATTACAAGGTAGCTAACTGCTGCTCTAGAATTACTCCTGTTTCTAAATGATTTCAGCTTAATTTCCCTGTTTTCCCTCCAACAGTTAAATTTGATCGGTGAGAGGGACAAACTTCCCATTCACTTCTGTGATAAATGTGGTCTCCCCGTTCAGCTCTACGGACGGATGGTGAGCAGCAGAAACCGTTTTATTATATATTATAGAATAAATATCTTGACTTATTTTGTAACAATATAATTCATGTATTGATGTTAAACAATATGAAGCATCAGAGAAACTGCAGAGAAAATAAAACCAAATCCTCTGAAGATTTTTATGAAACTGATTCAAGTTTAATAATTGGCCTCTGAAAGACCAGGTTGACTGATCAACTGTAATGATTTGGTAGAAATGAAGCTGCTCAGGGTGATGAGGATGATGAGGATGGTAATGATGAGGATGATGATGGTGATGATGATGATGAGGATGATGAGGATGATGGTGAGGATGAGGATGATGGTGATGATGATGATGAGGATGGTGATGAGGATGGTGATGATGATGATGAGGATGGTGATGATGGTGAGGATGATGGTGATGATGATGTGGATGATGGTGAGGATGAGGATGATGGTGATGATGATGATGAGGATGGTGATGAGGATGATGATGGTGATGATGATGATGAGGATGGTGATGATGGTGAGGATGATGGTGATGATGATGATGGTGATGATGATGAGGATGATGATGAGGATGGTGATGATGATGATGAGGATGGTGATGATGATGAAGATGATGGTGAGGATGAGGATGGTGCTGAGGATGATGGTGAGGATGAGGATGGTGATGATGATGGTGATGATGATGAGGATGATGGTGAGGATGAGGATGATGGTGATGATGATGATGAGGATGGTGATGAGGATGGTGATGAGGATGGTGATGATGGTGAGGATGAGGATGAGGATGATGGTGAGGATGATGGTGATGATGATGATGAGGATGGTGATGAGGATGATGATGGTGATGAGGATGGTGATGAGGATGGTGAGGATGATGGTGAGGATGAGGATGGTGATGATGATGAAGGTGAGGATGAGGATGATGATGAAGGTGAGGATGAGGATGGTGCTGAGGATGATGGTGATGATGAGGATGGTGAGGATGGTGATAATGAGGATGGTGATGATGAATGAGGATGGTGATGATGATGAAGATGATGGTGAGGATGAGGATGGTGCTGAGGATGATGGTGATGATGATAGTGGTGATGGTGAGGATGATGGTGATGATGATAGTGGTGATGGTGAGGATGAGGATGGTGCTGAGGATGATGGTGATGATGATAGTGGTGATGGTGAGGATGATGGTGATGATGATAGTGGTGATGGTGAGGATGATGGTGAGGATGGTGAGGATGATGGTGAGGATGGTGATGATGATGATGATGGTGATGATGATGAGGATGGTGATGATGATGAAGATGATGGTGAGGATGAGGATGGTGCTGAGGATGATGGTGATGATGGTGATAATGAGGATGGTGAGGATGAGGATGGTGATGATGAATGAGGATGGTGATGATGATGAAGATGATGGTGAGGATGATGGTGAGGATGGTGATGATGATGATGATGGTGATGATGATGAGGATGGTGATGATGATGAAGATGATGGTGAGGATGAGGATGGTGCTGATGAGGATGGTGATGATGGTGATAATGAGGATGGTGAGGATGAGGATGGTGATGATGAATGAGGATGGTGATGATGATGAAGATGATGGTGAGGATGAGGATAGTGGTGATGGTGAGGATGATGGTGATGATGATGATAGTGGTGATGGTGAGGATGATGGTGATGAGGATGATGATGATGAGGATGGTGATGATGAAGGTGATGGTGAGGATGGTGATGATGATGAGGATGGTGATGATGAAAGTGATGATGGTGATGATGGTGAGGATGGTGATGATGATGGTGATGATGGTGAGGATGGTGATGATGATGGTGATGATGGTGAGGATGGTGATGATGATGGTGAGGATGGTGAGGATGGTGATGATGGTGAGGATATTGATGATGATGGTAATGATGATGATGGGGATGATGATGAGGATGGTGATGATGATGGTGAGGATATTGATGATGATGGTGATGATGATGATGGTGATGATGATGATGATGAGTGTCTCTCCTGGTTGTCCATCGGTTGGTTTTTCTGATTGATCTGACTCTGTCTCTGAATCCTCTCAGATTCCCTGCAAACACGTCTTCTGCTACGACTGCGCTCTGCTGCATGAGAAGAAAGGAGAGAAGATGTGCCCAGGGTGAGTTTGCCGTCTAGACTCCGCCCTCATTGCTGGGAGGTGGAGCTTAAATCCTCTCTCTGTTTCCAGGATGAACCTGTTTAAATGCACGGAGCCGGTCCAGCGCATCGAGCAGTGCCAGCGAGGCTACCTGTTCATGTGCAGCGTGGTGCCGGGCTGTAAGCGCACCTACCTGTCTGGGCGGGACCTCCAGGCCCACGTCAACCACCGCCACCTGAGGACGCCTAAGACGGCGTCCCGCCAGGAGCCCGTTCATCTGGCCCCAGCGCCCGAAGTGCCGGAAAGGTTCCGCGTCCCTCCGCCTCACATACCCAAAAGCCACGTTCACCTCCCCGGGCCGCTCCAGCACGGCGGCCACGACCCGTACAGCCAGCCGCCGCCGCCCAACCCCCACGAAGGCCCGCCCCCTCCGTCGCCCATGGGGCCTGAGACCTACCGCATCTCCACGGTAACCACTCGTAAACACAGCAATCTCATCACCGTGCCGATCCACGACGACTCCGCGTCTCGGGAGCCGCTGTCTGCGGGGCCCGGCCCCGGCCAGCCCCCCCACCACCACCCTGGGGACTACGCCGCCCAGCCCCCCGTGGTTTCTCACGCTCACCACATGATGGCGCCGCCGCAGCATAACTTTGGACCTCCTCCTCCCCCCCCTCCCCCCATCAGTCACCCCATGCAGCACCCAGCCCAGGCCTCGGGGACCCCCCACATGGTGTACAACCAGGCCCCTCCCCCACCTATGTCTACAGCCCCCCCACCCATCACCCCCCCACCAGGGCACATCATGGGTCAGCTGCCCCCCTACATGAACCACCCGCCCCCAGGGCCCCCGCCGCAGCACAGCGGCCCTCCTGTCAACGCCCCCCCACCCCATCACTATAACCCCTCCTTCCCTGAGGACCAGGGCACCCTCAGCCCCCCCTTCAGCCAGCCGGGGGGGCTGAGCCCGGGCATGTGGCCCGCCCCCAGAGGGCCGCCCCCCCCACGGATGCAGGGTCCGCCCCCGCAGGGCCAGATGCCGGGCCCCCACCATCCAGACCAGGGCCGCTACAGGCCGTACTACCAGTAAGCTGGTTGCCTAGGTAACAGTCATTTCCAGTGATGTCAGCAAAGGATGTAGGAGAGCTAGATGCGCACGCAGTCCCAGCGTCTGCCGGATGAATATCTACGTTCATTAGTTTCACAATAAACATGTTTGTTTGATTTTTGCCTCAATCTTTTCAGACTTTTTATTAAAAACGGTGATAAAATAAAGTGACGCTGATTTAAACTCCTCCTTCTTTTCCCTTCGCAGTATGGGGAGAAATCAGTTCCTCTATTATTAAAAGCTGAGACTTTGTTTCAGAAAAGGAAATTTAAAGAAAAAGTTTTAAAAACGGAACAATCAAAAGGTTTAAAAAATAATTTACATGTTTGCAAATGTTTGAGTTTAGTTTCAACATCCAAAGGTTTCCTTCTGTTGGCAGATTTGATCCTGTAAGAAGGATAAATGCTGCAATAAAACGGATTTAAAGCTGAAACTCTTTGGTCTCCTGGACGTCAACCCTGGAAGAAGAAGAAGAGTGGAGCCTCAGTGAGTTATTAGGAGTAATGGATGGATGATTGATGGATGGATGCGCTCGGTTACATTTCTGTGGCCTTTCATCCATCTTCAATCAGTCCAGATGGTTAATCTGAACTCGTATTGATTAGGATTTTATGTAATAAGTTGGTCCAGTTGATTTAAATGAGTGAGAATAATGTAGATTATATTAGAGCCTCAGAGGAAGAGAAAAAACTAACATCCGACATTAAGAGGAATTTTTCCGTTTGTGAGAAAAAGACATTAAAACCCTGAAAGGAGTCAGACTGACTCTCTCTGCAGTGACACCCTAACGCCACCAGATGGCAGTGAAACGCCACCCTACAGCTGCCAATAATGAGTTAAAGCATTTCTTCTACCATAATTTCTTTCTATCCACCAAGCAACTCTCTGGGATTTGGGGGATTAAGGAGGTCAGTGTCCTAATCTGAGAGAGACTTTAATCTCCATAGATTAGGACACCATACTAAACAATCCACAGACTATGGAGTGAAAACTGTTCCATTATGGCGAGAAAAAAACATGTAAATGCTAATTTAACAAAACTTTAAAACACTTCTTAACTAAAAAAGGTTTTAACTTTGCTTTTATCTCAGACCGTTTTTTCAGATTAAGTTTTTCAAAACGCATTTTTCTTCAAAATGCGTTTTCCAGAACATAAAGTGTTCACTCCTTGGGGCGGACGAATGAAGGAGCATTTCTATTGGTTTGCATTTTAATTGGTTCATTTTGGGCTTAATTAAACAGAATATGATCCGTAGAACAAAAGAACATTTAATAAAAAAATTCATGAAAGTCTTAAAAAGAAGATTTTGAAGAAAAAAAAAGAGAAAAAAAAAAAGTTTGTTTCAAAGCCTTCTTATTAGAAGGCTTTGAAACTTATTAAAACTTTAAACTTATTAAAGAAGTTTGTCAAAGTTTTGTTTCTGGATTATTTAGTGTGAAATAATATTGGAACAAAGTTAATTTCCTGCGTTACACAGGAAGTGGCGAACGTCCCTCCCTGCAGGAAAGTTCTGGCCTGAATGAAACTTTTATTTCTATTCAGCCAGTTATTAATCAAGGACGTTCTAAATCATAAAACCTTCATCCTAACATGCGAGTTTTCAGCTCCGCCAAAGGAGGTGAAACCTGTCAGTCTGCAGGCAGACGGAGAAAAAGCAATGATCATGAAGCCAAGATGACTGGAGGTGACCTGAGTTTATTCAGCTGCTTTGTTTAACAGCTTCCATCAACTGTAAATCTTGTAATGTTTGTGCTTCCTATAAATGGCCTGTTGACAGCAGGATAGTTTGCTTCTATAAAAGGTGAGGATGGCAGCGGGGGTCAAACCCGGGTCACGTTCGTTTCCCTGTTAGCAGGCGTTAACAAACAAGGGCAGGGCCGGCAGCGTTGCTGAGCCACTGACTCATAATCCTGGCTTCCCTGAACACCTGATGCAGCTACAGGTAGAGAAAGAACCTTTGTCCCCGGGGCGGCGGCGCCCGCTGACTGGAAGCTAAATCAATCAACCAAGAAGGAAAACAAGCTCCTTCTATAGGAAACAAGGACCGGCGGATGATTCAGACGCTTCTGATCATCTGATAATGAGATAAACTGAGATCAGCTGTGAGGATCAGATAAAGGCTGCAAAGATTCTCAGTTTCACCGAAAAACAAAAATCAGACTGATTGTCCTGAGAGGAAACCGGCAGCGCTCCGATCACCCCACAGTCAGTGGGGCTGCTGGGGTCTGTGGGTGAGAGGCGGGGTCTAACCTGGACAGGCCTCCAGTTTGTCTAACTGGTCTGCAGGAACCTTCTGGGCCCTTTGGACCAGTGAGGTGGTGTTTCCAGTCCAGGTGAGGGTGTCTGTGATGACAGAGACCAATGTGCTGATATTTCACCACAGGCAAACGTCCACGTTTTCGTCTAACCCTCCAAAATAAAATAAAAAATATAATAAAATACGATCAAGGGTTTCTAATCTCCAAAGCATCCTCAGCCTTCTGACTGGTTGATGAAAGCTTTGGAAAATGTCCTTCTGCTTCACGTCCACAGGACAAACATTTCTTCCATCTGCTGCCAAACCTTCAGTCTCCAGCTTTAAAACATCCCAGTCTGCAGATGGACCAATTTACATCAGCTTCATTCCTGCAAAGTTAGAACTTCTCATTAATCAATGGCTGTTTCAGGATTGATCTCAAAGTTTTACCTCCTGAGCTTTTTACTAATCTGCTTTCTAAATAGTGTCTCTATAAAATCATCTACATTTGGCCTCGTTTCAGATAACGTTGCATCAGAGGTTATTGGACTGTGACTGTTAATTTATTTCAGAAATACTTGATTAATCCCAAAGGAAAATAAAAATTTTTAACAGATTCAGACACTGCAAAAAAATAAAATAAAAAATGGTTTGTTTGCTCAGATTAGAGGTTAATAAAAAGAAAAGCAGGATAATCAGTAGCATTCATAATAAAATCATAATTTTATGTTACATTTAGCAAGAATAAGAGAAAATTCTCACTCCAGGCCTTTAGGTGGCAGTAATAGTTTTTTCCTGGGTGTGCAGCGCACAGATGGATGGCTGGAAAACAGAGGAGTAAAAATCACACAAAGCAACGACTGAATCAGAGTCTATCGATTAAACTAGAAGAAAAAATGATTTTCAACCCAACGAGCTTCAGCTTTCTTTATCCTCCAGGAAATATTTTGATTAGTGCAGAGAAACATTAAATAGCACATTACATGTTAGTATAAAAACTAATGTGATGTGTAGCAAAGCTGAAAACCCAGAGGAAAAATACTGATGAATCATTTCAATTCTATTCAGTTTATTTCTATAGATTCACATTATGTCTCCTCAGGTCATTTTATAGATCCAGATCAACCAGATCATCCAGTCAGATTGATTCAAAGTTTTCTATCTAAGGAAAACCAACTGATTGCATCGACTCATTGACTCTTCAGCAATCCCTCACACTAAGCATGCTTGTAGCGACAGTGGAGAGGAAAAACTCCCTTTGAACAGGAAGAAACCTCCAGCAGAACCAGGCCATCTGCTGAGGCCCACTGGGGTTCAAGGAGACAGAAGCAGACATAGAAAAAGAAGCATAGATACAAAAGGCAACTGTCAACCAGCTCCACAGGCTGCCCAGTAGTTGCCATGAGTTATTGCTCAGTGAGAGAGAAGAATGTTGCACAGGAGAGACAATAGTTGATGTTTTTATTAGCCGCAGGAGCTGCAGACCTGAGGGACCGTCTTTTGATCATGCAAGGCGTCTCGGTTCAGCTGGAAGGCCGTGAGAAACGCCACACGGCGTGGCGCGGAGGACCAGTGGCGGAGCTCCAGTGATCAACCACAGCCTGCTAGCTTTCTCTGATCGTAAATAATAACAAAGATCTGTCTGTAAATTAGGAGCAGAGTTTAAACCTACTCGTCTATTAATAAAGTCTAGAACAGTTTATCATCCAGCTTCTTCTCTCCTCTGTTTCATCTAATTGTCTCCAAATGTTCTTATTTTCAATGGATGCAATTATCATCTAAAGAAATATTGCAAACTTTGACAGAATTGATTTTTTCTTAATTAAAACATGAAATTAATGTTGATTAAAGTTTAAAATTGAACCTAAAGAATAAAGTAATAGTGAGGCTCAGCTACCCAGCCCGACGGTTTGTAGTCAGAAGGTCACCTGCAGCCATATTTGACCTCTGACCTCCCTCAGGACACCCACACAGCCTCTTTCTCATGTTTCCTGTTTCATTTCTTTTCTGAGCAGCAACTGTTGCTCTTCCAGCGTATTTCTGATGCTGTGTGGTCCCAGCAGAGACGCGTCCATCACATCCTTTCCTTTAGGTTTCCTCCTCCAGGGTTTGCTTAATCCTAAACTGGACAAACAGAAAGTTAGTCTGAAACCAAGAATCACCTCTCAGTTTCTAAAATTAATTCCTGCTTTTTATTCCCAGCAGCTGATATTCGCTCCGTTAAAGCTAAAGGCATTTCTTTATTCTTTTAATAAAATTATTTCATATTGATTAAAATATGATTAAAAGTTGATTAAAAGTTCCCATTTTAGCTGTTTGCATTAATATTTGAATTTCCTGTTACTAATCGCATTAAAGCTGATGTTCCTAAAGCTGGAAGTGTTTTACAAAAACAAAGATAGGAAGTTTACAGCATAAATAAAATGTAAAATAATAATAGTAATTAAAAAAAAAGAGTCATAGAAGGAATAAAAGTATTTTAAGAGCTATTAGTCTCCATGTCTGCATTATGGAAGTTTTCTTTCCATCGGTTGATCTTTCAGCATCTTAGAAAGCTTTAAAATGGGGGTGTGCAGTTATTCCTGATTGTCATAGTTTTGGTTCTGATTTAGTTTTTTCTTTCAGTTTTCATTGATTTTGTTTCCATTTTGTGTTTATATTAGATTGTATTTGAGTTCTTTGGTATTTCCACTGTCAGTCTCCTTCTCCTCGCTCCCTTCTAGCCTCCTCTGTCCACACCTGCTCCCAATCTGCTGATTATCCTGCTCTTTGCTTCTCTCTCCCATAGATGCGCCTCCTGCTCAGGTTGCTGGTTTGTTGTCATTTCTTTGATCCCTCGTTGTTTTGAGGATTCCTGGTTTTCAGTGTCACAATGCGATTCATCACAAAGA